AGGGGCCGGGACAGGGCAGGGGCCGGGACAGGGCAGGGGCCGGGACAGGGCAGGGGCCGGGACAGGGCAGGGGCCGGGACAGGGCAGGGGCCGGGACAGTGCAGGGGCCGGGACAGGGCAGGGGCCGGGACAGGGCAGGGGCCTGTGTTAGGGGGCTTTGGGCTCAGTGTTGATGGCATCAGCTTGGGATGCTTCTCAGATGATTCAGAATTCATTGACAGGTCCATGTGACCTCCTTCTGACCCGCATGTGTATCTGACCCGCATGTGACCCGCATGTGACCTATATTCCCATAGACTGGTTTCAGATTGGCCCTCAGTGATAGGAAGCCACATTACGTGTCTGGACTTCACCGGCAGGGCGAGCGTCTGATAACAAAGACGTTGTCACATATAACATTAGACCGGGGTAACGGGGCCACCAGGCAAAGTGAGGCGCGGGCCTGCACATGCACTGTGATGAATAGGGAGGAGTTTCGGGTCGACCAAACCTCTCTCTTTGTCCTAGCAACCAATGATGCCGTGTGACCCGTCCAATGTGATTGGTTGCTAGGATGCAGGCGGGGGAACTATGACAACCTATGATGCTGTGGAGCTGCCAACATCTTAGCAACCAATGATGGTAGTTGCAAAGACACAGGCAGAACCATGGCAACATTGGTTGTTAGGCTAGGCCGGCCTGCATCCTAGCAACCAATACAGAGCAGTTGCTAGGAACCGATTATGATAGCACAGAGACTGGCCTGGCTCTGGTTTGCTTTTGCCATGGTTGCACGGGTAAGATTCTATAGTCAGTTTCCCCCGAAGTCTCTCCGCTGGTCTCTATTGCCTCGTTATCAGACATTTCTGTGCGTTATGAAGCCGCATAGCAGTCTATGTTTTCTAGGGGCCCATTTTGTGACTCCTCCCCCCCCCCAGTGAACGCGTTTCATTATCTGTATCATTGTCTTTCCTTGGCAGGTGCGGCACCATCACCGACTACACTGTTATCACCACAACTTTCTGCTGCAATGGGTTGTCGGGTCGGTACATCAGCGCGGTGATCCCGGGGCGCGCGGAATACTTGAACATATGCGAGATAGAAGTCTACAATGGCACCATGACTGAGGATGACATGTGCTGGTGAACCCTGACCCCGACCTCCGACACGTCTATAGGGAGCACATCCCCCGAC